ATGATATACAAGTTTCAACAGAAATTACATTAAATATTATTTACTATAAATGCATGATTATGAATAATTATTCAACTATGCTAATAGTTCATATTAAAATGTACTATAATACAGTTTTATTTATATTTAATTGTAAATAATATGCAATTAAGTATCCTAAAACATGACATTTAGTTCACACTTACTGTAAGTCTATTCTTTTAAAGTATGTTTTTTTCCATAATATTTTTTCATAAACTCACCAAGGTAAAGACTATTGCCCCACAAGCGCCATACAGCATATGCGGCCACGGCACCTGAGACATTGATGGTATAGGTATATTATATAATATAACAGGTATTTTACTGGTTAATCATTCATAAGACAGGATATAGGCCTTACTTTCCAAAGACAAGTTTGGTCAGCAATTCTACCACATCAATCTCATGTTAATATGAGATATGCATAAAATATGCACCTGTCGGACAGTTTTTGACTCCATTGTCCACAACAATATTCAAAGTGCCCCTAGTCTGAGTTCAAACCTTATTTGAATATGTAGGCACTCCTTATGACATTATAATGATAATAATGACAATAATTACACATTTTTGGAGCTGAATGTTCTTCAGGGATCCCACTCTTTTTAACCTATGAATTTACAGGACTACCTGACTTATCCAGCTATTCATGATTTAGTGGATAGAGATTTTAAAAAATATGTTTTTCATTAAAAAAATGGCCAATAATATACATGATTTTTCTAGGTCCAGAAATCACACTTTTTTTTTAACTTTTAATTAGGCTTCCTCATATATCCAGGTTTTCTGGTCTGTGGGAACCCTGCTTCTTCAAAGAAAACAAACAATTGTTGAGGGGGTACATTAAAAGTAAAAAAAAAAATCTTGGTACTCTTAGTTGATTTAGCTTGTTTTGTCTGCTTTTAAACCATTTTTGGTCCTCTTGAGACCTTGCTGAGGGCCCCTAGTTGAGAACCACTGCATTAAAGGAACAACTCACCCATAAATTATAATTTAATCATCCTCACCCACCCATATTCTAATAGTTAACAACTTAACTTTGTCTTTGTCTGTTCCCCACACAATGCTATACTATGTTTTCAGTAGACTTGGAAGATAGAGTATAGACTGTATAGTCTATATAGAGGTTGTATAGACTAGTTTAAAGATAATTTGATGTTATTTTATCGTTATTTTGACCGTTGTTGTATGGCAAGAGTGTAGTGATTCATTTTTGTGGGAATTATCACTTTAAATGTCATGGTCATACTTTTGCAACTGTTTTTTTTTTTTTTTTTTTTACATTTATTTATAGTGCCACCCACTTGCTTCCATTGTAAATGCATTACTGTAATGGGTTTTCTGCTGTTTTTAACAAACTAAAGAACAAGTCAAAATTATTTTCTATGTAGGCACTGAAAATAACAGAGTATTCTTTTAAAGAAAGAAGACATGACAGTAAAATCACTCACGATGCCCAATAAATGGCAGGATTTTGGACCACAAAAAGACGCACAGGCTCACTGTAAGATGAGGGATGAACACAAACACACCCATTTCATTACATTACATTGTATGTATAATGCATTACATTTACACAATGGTTCATAAATGTTCAGTTGTTTTGTGAATTTATTTATCATACTCACACAAACGTAAACCCCACGATGATTGAAGTAGTGATTAACAGCTGGATGGCTAAAATAAGGTAAACCTGGTACAAAAACAACCACAAGCCAATTTCTTTACATGAAGCTATTGCTCATTTTATTGGTACATTTACATACTTAAGAAATCTGTAGTACTAGTTCTATTTTAAAATAGATAGTCTCAGTACCTTTCTAATGAAGGCATGTCGAACACTCATGCTGTCTAAAAATCTGCTGTACCAGATATATGCCAGACTCAACCACCTAACAAGAGTGCATGGTTTCTGAATAAAAAGCAGCTCAGTTTTATTCATAAAGCAGACAAATGCAGTACAAAACTAAACAGTACAAAGGTAGGCTGCACTATGCAACAGTTTGTTGGAAAGAAACTTGATTTGTACATACAAAAGAAACAAATAAATACAATAGAGAAGTAACAGATTACACTTCATGATTCACATGAGAACTTGATTCTTACTAAGGTTGGAGGGAAATATGGTGTTATAAAGGATGGCATCATAGATGGCATTGCTGAAGGGCAGTATCCAGGGCCCTGCCAATGCCCTGCCTGAGGGTGTATGCCAGGCTGTCCCGGGCCCGTGTACACCCCTGGCTGGGCTGGATATCCATAGGGAGGGTATGGATAGTTTCCATGCTGCTGCTGTCTTGACTCTTCATAATTGGAGGGGGATTTGACTTTGACATTGTGATGTCCCTGAAACACAAGCCACATAATTAAAGTTCTTGAATAATTCAATTAAGAAATTAATACCTATATTAATACATCTCTCTCTCTCTCTCTCTCTCTCTCTCTCTCTCTCCCTCTCCCTATTTACACACATACAGAGTATCCAATGCATTCTAAGAAGACAGACTCAGTAAGGCTATATACTAAATAAGTACATAGAGCTATGTAAACAATACAGTTACACTTTATTTTCACTTTAAACAACAAAAATGATCTATTCTTATTTGTTTTGCCAGCGTGACATCAAACTTGTTCTGCTCATGTGATGTAGTGAACAGTGTTGGGGGTAACGCATTACAAGTAACGCGAGTTACGTAATCAGATTACTTTTTTCAAGTAACTAGTAAAGTAACGCATTACTTTCCATAAAAAGTAACTAAGTAACGTAATTAGTTACTTTTTTATGGAGTAATGCAATATTGTAATGCATTACTTTTAAAAGTAACTTTCCCCAACACTGGTAGTGTGGAGCGCTCTGATTGGCTGGAACCAGGAACCGTCTCCAGTTTCCAGGGTTCTGTCCTCACTGGACTGCGCTCAGTAGCCTATCTATTTCCCGAATTAGTCTATAGTCATCTTACCAAAATACTGTTTTGTGTGACAGCTGTTTAGTATTCGAAATTATATTAACTATTTATTTTTTGGTGATCTGAACAAATAGATATGTGTTATTATATATCTTCACAATCACATGAACATCAGAAGAATCAGAATCAGAATCAGAATGAGCTTTATTGCCAGGTATGTTTACACATACGAGGAATTTGTTTTCGTGACAGAAGCTTCCACAGTGTAACAGAATGACAGTAACAGAACAAAAACTCAGATAAAAAAAATTTAATAAATAAATAATGAATAAAATATAGAACAAGTAAATAAGGAATACAATATACAAATTGACAATTGTATGTACAGGTATATTACAATAGATAGTTTTGTATGTACAGGTATATTAGTGCAAAATTGAAATGTAGACTAAGTATGTGTGTTAGATAAATAAGTGTGTGAGTGTATAAATAGTGTTGTGTGTTCCACAGTTATTGTCAAGTGGACATGTTGTCTTATTCACAACATTTCGTATTCAACAAGTAGAGGGATTTGTTGAATGTTAGTTGGTCATTATTAGTTAATGATCTTGTAGTAAAACCTGTCTACCAACAGACGGCGCTAAAACATATACCGTAATTATATCGACACTCACACTCGTGCATTGTCGATACACAGTTTGTTGTGCAGATAAAGTTTGATCGGTGTGCTCTTTATCTTTGGTTTTTTATACACATTAAATCATTCTTTTTAAGAAAATTACGATTCAAATGAGCAAATCTTACATGAACTTACATTATCAGATTTTTCTCCATTCAAACGTTGCAGGCAGCAATGACATCATTGTAATATTTGCATACTGTACTGCGACTGGTCATTTTTCTTAGCTTTATTTTAACTGACTTGTGATTGGTCATTTGTGTCTTAAATTTCTTTTTAAATATGCATTATTTAGTGTATTGATATCTTCTTTAGTAAATGCTATTTCACTTTTTTTGAAACGTTAAATACATTTATGCATGCTAATACAAAATTTAATAGATCAGGCTGGGATAAATCTTAGATTAAAAAATGAAATCTTATTTGTTAGATTTGATACTGTTGTCTGATTTTAACCTTCTTGTAATTCTGCATTGTCATGAAGACAAAGAGTCTGCAATGCCCCACAGGGGACCTGCTTATCAGAGTCCTGCAGTCATGCAGAGTCAGAAACGGCCTCTATTTACACCTCTGAATGCTCTTATGATGTACAAGTGAAGCCCTCTTTTCTCAGATCAATATAGGATATTTATTTACACATTATTCACCATAATGCTTTTGATACCATGTTTCTGATACCTGGTAACAGTGTGACAGAAGTTATTTTCCCCATGTGTTTTCGAAATTAAGCTACAGAATCTGCACATTGCAATGTAGAGATCTGAATGAAAAAGAACTGCCTGCATGTTTTGGCTGGCAGATAAGACCTTGGTTGTCTGTTCATGCAGCAGGCTGCAAAACATGTCCAGGCCTTCCCTCCTTCAGTCTAGACACACTTTAACACACACCACTACACCATGAATTATTCAGCTTTTGCATTACACTTGCAGAAATATAACTGATTGTATCTTGTATGACATTGTATGGTATAGGCCTACAAACCTCAGAGCAACACTCAGCTCAGAAAAAAAAAGATTGAAGTGCTAAGAAATATAATATTCTCCCACTGTATATTTTCGCTATGAAATAATAATGAACAGGAACTCAGAAAGGTGAGAAAATACACAGAACACAACCATTAACAAAGAGCAGAAAAATGTTCCGTTTACTTGCATACTATGAACTGATATTGTTTAGCATATGTGCAATAATGTAAAAAAAACAACAATTACAAAAGTATAACGATCACAAACAATAAACCTTTATTAAATTATTAATTAAACAATAATAATAATAATAGCAAAAATCAAACTATATAATTCAGATGTCTTGTTTATCCAGTTTATTTGCCCCGAAGTAAACAGGATAGTGAGGATTTGGATGACTTTTATTTTGAAAAAAAAAAAAACAGAAAAAAAAACCTAGTACTTCCGGAACTGTCAATGTGAGCTCATTAGATTATACACTGCTGTCATGTTGTTTAATTTGGAATTAGATACATAAACAAATCATTTTTTTTGTAATTTATGCACGTTGAAGCCAAACATGGAATGACATTTATGCATCAAATCGATTCACTGAAGGAGTTTAAGTACTTCCTGCTCGACCATCTGTTTACATCAACCTCAGCAGTATTTGTTTTTAGTTTTTTTATTTTTGCACATATATGTATATATAATAATAATAAGTAATCATGCTGAAGGCTGTTATTCTTATCGGAGGTCCTCAAAAAGGTGAGTAAATATCCCTCAGACTCGTATCAGTGGTGCAGATTGACAACATCAACATTTTGTACGTTCTGCCATATGTACATGACCTATTGTTTAAAAAAAACATTTTGTGATATTCTCAGCATTGTCACTAAGGACAGGGCCTTTGTTTTAATCCTAAATATGTCGTAAATGTCATTATTCTGGTAATATTTTGCGTATCATTGATAATGTTATGCAAAACGCCAACCCGTGTTGATATAAATACCCTGAAAGGACATGAGAAGCAGCAAATAAAATAAAATAAGAAATTGTGTGAGATTATAAGCTTTCCTTTAATTGATAAAATGTTTTTTTTTTTTTTTTTTTGTAAAGAAAATTGTTAGAAAAATAAAATTAGCATCAGTGGACATGAAATGTACCCCAAATTATGGAAAGTCTGATTTTGTGTTCCTGCTGTTTATAAAGGCACCCGGTTTCGCCCGCTGTCTTTTGAGGTGCCCAAACCTCTGTTTCCAGTGGCTGGAGTGCCAATGCTACAGCATCACATTGAGGCCTGCTCTAAGGTGCATATTTTCAGTTCATATAGAGATAAATAGATATTGTATTAATTTCCCTATAGGGAAAATTTGTGCACTTGTTTAAAGGGGTCATATGATGCGATTTCAAGTTTTCCTTTCTCTTTGGAGTGTTACAAGCTGATTGTGCATAGATAAGATCCCTGAAGTTGCAAAGACTAAAGTCTCAAAATTACATTTATTTTGAAAGCTGACGCTCGCGATTATGGTAAGGGCTGTTACATTTCTGACGAGTGCTTGCAGTGTTCGGCCAATCACAATGCACTGGGTCAGCTGGCCAATCAGAGCAGACTGCGCTTGTCAAAGGAAGGGGCTTTGTTGAAAACGACGCGTTTGAGAGAGGCGGGGCATAGAGGACCTACAATAATGTACAGTATTTGAAAAAGAATGTGTTTTTTGAACATTAAAGCATGTCAACATATTCTGTTACACCAAATACACAAAATAATGATCTTTAAAAAAGCATCATATGACCCCTTTAACAATTTTTATGACTTATTTTTTTCTTTAGCTTCCGAATATGAAAGAGATCTTACTTATTGGCTTTTATCAGCCCAATGAAGAAATAAACAGATTTTTGTCATGCGCCCAACAAGATTTCAAAATCTCAATAAGGTAAGTTACTTTATAATATCTTTATTATGTAGGCTAACATTTGTATTTATTGTTTTTAAAGTCGGAAAAGGCTTTTGTTTACATGGCTTGTCTGAAATCCCCCTCAGATACCTTCAGGAGTACGCTGCTCTGGGCACCGGAGGAGGAATCTACCATTTCAGAGATCAGATTCTGTCTGGCAGTCCAGAAGCATTTTTTGTCATGAATGCTGACGTGTGCTCAGAGTTTCCTCTGCCAGAGATGCTGGACTTCCAGAAGGAGCACGGAGACGCTTACAGTTTTGTCATCCTCGGCACCACGGTTAGGAGTTCTTGTGTTTATGTATTAAGCCATAGATGGATTATAATGAAAGACACAAGCCAGGCTACTTGTAAAACGGGATTCTCAATTTATTATTAGCCTGTTTTTATTTGAGTTTTGTTACGATGTTGTTGTGCTTGAAAATCAAATCTGATCGTTTCAGGCCAACAGAAAACAGTCCCTGAACTACGGCTGCATTGTTGAGAATGAACAAACCGATGAGGTAATCAAGATTATTTATTTTTTATTTAAAAAACTTGAAGCAATAACAAATAAGATCATAAGTGTCTTATCATATCCTCCAGGTCTTGCATTATGTTGAGAAGCCCAGCACATTTGTGAGTGACATAATCAACTGTGGAATATACCTGTTCACTCCAGAGATATTCCAGCACATCGGAACAGTTTTCCAGAAGAACCAACAGGACATGCTGTTGTGAGTGGGACAAATCCTGTAGGGTTCTTGAGTGGAAGTGCATGCATACTTAATCCATTTCTTTCCCATGGTTCTCTTCGTTTATCTTTTCCCCTCTAACTCCTTCCTGTCTGCCATCATTCTGTTTCCTGTTCCATCATCAGATATTACGATGAGGGGTAAGTTTGCACGTGGACTGAAGGTCTGGTTTGAATGTAGAACGAGAAAGAGCAAGTGTGATGTAGATTTTGTAGTGAGCTCACCTGCTTGTGTGATCTGTCAACTAGAATCATGTTAGCATGTTGTGGTGTGATGATAAAAACACGTCACACATGTTGTGATAACATCACAAACTTTGATTTGAAGCAAAAAAAGTATATGAAAATTGCCATTAAACATGATTATCTAAAACATATTTGAAAATAATGTGCATTGATGGCTTGAACAAAGACTTAAATTCCCCAATGGGGAAAATGAATGGAATTTTTAGTTACAGAACCAGACTGTTACATTTTACTGAATATTGAGATTTACTAATAAATACAATACGTTTTGAAAGTTAAATACATTGCAAATCAAGTCAAGTCACCATTATTTATATAGCGCTTTTAACAATACAGATTGTGTCAAATCACCTGTACAGCATTAATTAGGAAAATATTGTGTCAATAATGCAGAATGACAATAGTAAACACTCAATTTTCAGTTAAAGGCAGTTCATCATTGAATTCAGTGATTTCATCATCCAGCTCAGTTCAGTTTAAAGAGTGTCTGTGCAAATGCCATTTCATTTTGTTTTTAACCCTCTGGATCTTTAGCATTTACCTTTTATTTTCATTAATTTGTTTTTGTTCAAGTTATCTTTCCTAATTATGTGTTTGTCCATCATAGTGTCATTTTATATCATCCTCTGTCCTGGGTTGTAAAACATCTCCTGATATCACCAGAGGGTGCAATTAAGACTTTATTTGGTACTATGTGGTTGTGTACTGTAGAGAGGAGCAGTCCAACGGCTGGCATCGGGCAGAGGTGATCCGCCTGGAACAGGACATCTTTACGGCGCTGGCAGGCCAAGGCAAATTATATGTGTACAAAACAGACCGCTTTTGGAGCCAAATCAAATCTGCAGGGTTAGTTGTTGACATATGCTGTTTAATCACATTTATGCACTGATAATGTTGCAACTACATTTGATTGTGTGTGTATGAGTGTAGTTAATGTTATGCTCCCCTCTTTTTTCAGATCTGCGATCTATGCAAGCCGTTTGTATCTTAACCAGTATCACACAACACATCCAGAGAGGTTAGCTACTAATAGAGAAGGAGGGCCAAAGACCAGAGGTAAATGCTTTATGTCTGAGAGAGCTCTTTATGCAGGCCTTCTAATGCATTTTTTTTATTTTATTTTAGGAAATGTTTATATACATCCAACTGCCAACATTGATCCAACTGCTGTGGTAAGTGTTTCTTGATACTGATATTTAGAGTTCCTCAACAATCATTTGCAATGTATTAAACTTCTGCAATGTGACACGAAATGTTGTGCAATGTGAAAAATTATGTTTAGCAGAAAATTTGCAGAATGCTAGCCATGCAATGCTAGGCAGGTCATTCCACTAGCCGGGAACAGTTAAGGTAAAAGTCTGTGAATTGATTTTGTGCCTATTTGGGATGGCACTATAAAGTGCATGCAAGCTTCTGGAGGGCACATAAGTCTGAATTTAGGTGAAGTGAATTTAGGTAAAGGGGTGCAGAGCCAGTGGTTGTTTTGTAGGCAAACATCAGTGCCTTGAATTTTACACAAGCAGCTATTGGTAGCCAGTGGAAATTAATGAACAGAGGTGTGACTACTCTTGCTGCCATATTCTGGATTAGCTGCAGAGGTCTGATAGAACTGGCTGGAAGACCTGCCAAGAGAGTGCTGCAATAGTCCAGCATGGACAGAACAAGTGCTTGAACAACTAGTTGTGTAGCATGTTCCGATAGAAAGGGCCTGATCTTATGTTTTATAAGGCAAATTTGCAGGACCAGGCAGTTTTAGTAATGTGGTCTGTGAAATTCAGTTGATCACCAATATGATGGCTATCCTGGAAGGTGTTATGGTTGATGTGCCTAGCTGGATGGAGAAATTGTGATGAAGTGTTGGGATGGCTGACACCACAAGCAGTTCTGTCTTGGCAAGGTTAAGTTGAAGGTGATGGTTCTTCATCCAGCAGGAAATGTCTGTTAGACATGCTGAGATGCAAGCAGCTATTGTTGGATCATCAGGATGGAATGAGAGGTAGAGCTGAGTGTCATCAGCATAGCAGTGATATGAAAAGCCATGTTTTTGAATGACAGCCTAGTGATGCCATATAGGTAGACAAGAGAAGTGGTCCAAGAACTGAGCCCTGAGGCACCCCAGTAGCTACAGTAGATGTTGCGACTTGGACACCTAACCCCTCCAAGATACCTTAAAGGACCTATGTTGTTTCTTTTCTTTTTTAGTTAGGTCCAAATGTGTCCATAGGAACAGGTGTAACGATCGGTGCAGGAGTTCGCGTGAGGGAGTCCATCATCCTCCATGGTGCTACTCTACAGGTGAGTTCATGCTCCTAACCAGTGGCACAGAACACTCACTTTCTCTCCCTATTGCTTTTTCTTGCATTTAAAACCAATGACTCAACACAATAATTGTGTGTTCTGTAGGATCACAGCTGCGTGTTGAACAGTATTGTGGGCTGGGGCAGCACCATTGGCAAATGGGCCAGAGTGGAAGGGACCCCTAGTGACCCGAATCCTAATGACCCATATGCCAAAATTGACAGTGAGACACTGTTCAGAGATGGAAAACTAACACCGTCCATTACAATTCTAGGTAATTTTATAGAACATCATCATGAATATATTATGTATTTGAAAGTGATTCATCTAATGTGACTTCTCACTGCTTCTCTCTCTCTATCTCATCAGGCTGTAATGTAAATATCCCATCTGAGGTCATCATACTCAACTCCATCGTCCTGCCACATAAAGACCTCAACAGAAGCTTCAAAAACCAGATCATACTGTAGTTTCAGTTTCAGTCATTTGTACTTGTCATTTTCATACAAATAAAACAGGTATTTGAAATGAAAATGATGGATGAATCATCTGAAGATTCAGTGGCATTTGTCTTAAAATGTCTGCTACTGTAGTGTGCATATGGATTTACCATTATACAGCGTTATCACGTCAAAGCTGGATAAAACAAATGCAAAAATAGTTCTGCTGTAGAATATCTTCTCTTTGTCAAACGGTTTCTGAAATGACTTGAAATTAATTTTATTTACAGCTTGTTGGCTCCCTCTTGTCAGTGAAATGTCAAAGATATTCAAAGAAAGGTGCAAAAAATAAATACTGTTTATTTGTGCAGTCTGTTACCATTCGTTCCAGCATTTAACATGCCATGTAAAACAAAAAAAATGGTAAGACAAATGGTAAAATCTTGTAATTGGATACCAGTCGTGTTGGTAATTGTTTTGAATAATTGATGTTTCTGTGACTGCTCCTGTATGAAAGCAGAGCGCAGTGCAAGAGTCAGACGTCTGCAATAAATTATATTTTGATTAAGTCACAAAAGGTAAAGTAATTTACTGCTGCCCTTGTAGAAAATCACAGTGTCTGTATTTATGGTTAAACAGCTACAAGACCATCAATTATTTTTCTTAACCTTTAAGACCAAGACAAATTATTCAATTACAGACCACATTTTGGCAACAAAATGCTTCTATATAAATTTATAATACTGCCTAACTTCTGAAGGCACTAGTGCAGATACTGCCCTTATTATTACAAAAAAAAATCCACAAAGACGGGACATGAATTCATCTAGTTTATTTCAAATAATTTTGCCATTTCACCATGTTCATACCACCTTTAGATATTTTCCAGGACATTTCCTACGTACATAATAGACTTAAACATTCTGCAGAAAATACAAAGAGTGTAGTCTCATATTTCATAGTTTAGTTTTTTCCAAGGTAGAATATGAAGTGCTAAAATGTTTCATTTTGTGTGGTGGAAAAAAAACAGCTCAAAGTGTCCCAGTGCAACACAAAATATACACTTATATACACACACATAAATCATTTGGGGGATGTGAAGAATTTCTTTTTCCCTGGTTCATTTTTTGGTTTGCTTCTAGAAAGACAAACAATGGTTATGAAAACACGCTATACGAACATGCTCAAGACCAATACAATGCAGGATAGTAGCTTACGGGTTATTGAAAGTGCCACCAAAGTGCTTGATCCGACCCTTTATTGAGCCACCGGATGTAGTTTTAGAGTATTTACTCAACTCAGGAGAGGTCAGAGGTTTGAATATCTTATCAGTTCCTACAAATTAAGAAACAAAAGTTAAAGAATCCTGGCAAAATATAGTCTACAAACTGAAAAAAATACAACTACATTTAAGATTTTAAAGTTATTTTAGACCATAAAAACGGCATTAAAATAGACAATAAGTGGGCAGTGGAACTTTAACCAGCCAGTATATATATATATATAAGGACGACAACTATAACAATCATGATTTAGTTAAAGAAATGCTGTAAATGTTAAAGAATAGCAGAGTCCACACCATGACTAAAACGATAACGGGACAAAATAACGATATTGTTGGAATCACTTTCACAACCATTTAACAATTGACAATCAAAATGTCAATCAAAATCCATCCTGCTTTAAAGAGCTTGAGCATTTAAAGTGGCAAACGACAGAACTGCAGTTCATGCTTATAGTAAACTGAACGTTATTTTGTGCTGGTGTGGATTATTATTTAGTTATTGTTATAATTATCATTCTTGGTGTGAACGGGCCTTAACACATGGTGGATACCCTGTACCTCTGCTAGTGCTTGGACAGACACTGCTGACATTGGAATCCACCACAAGAGGTAAGAGCGGATCCTCCTTCTCACCTAGAAGGCCTTTCCAGAAATCTGAGGGGAAGGACAAAAACCGAGCAACTACCTGTTGCAAAGAAGTTAGAAGAGGTTTATTTCTTGAAACAAAGCATAAATACACAAGAAATGCATCATCACATTGAGATTTTCTTGCAACTTACTTTGGGTTGGGTGTTTGTGTCTCTCATAATGGTCATGGGAGAAGGTTCTAGCAACCCGTGACCAATGACAGTGGGCCCAAACACTCTGGATAAGTTATTCTGATCCATCTGACACGTCGGACTCTGCATTACTCTGAGAAAGAACATAAATGTGGTTGCAAAATACTTAAACAAGTATACAAAGTCAGAGTTGCAGAAATGTCTAAATCAGAGCAATTTACCTCTGCAAATGCAGCATCAGGAAGGCCAGGGTGTCTTTGTTCGGCTGCGGCAACTCTTTGATAGTCTTTATTAAGGTTTCTACGCTCTTGTATTCATCAGCCATCTCTGCGAGTGAAAAAATGACTATTTTGTCAGAGCCAGCCACAGTATCGGATTCAATTACGCTCCATTGCCAGAGCAATATATCAGGTGAATTAATCCCTTTATCAACTTTTCTAACTTTAAGGATATCAGGTTTCACGGAGCAGGTACATAAACACCTGTAGCAGCATTTGCAGACTTTCTCTCATTTACATGCTACAGCCATTCTTGGCCAAGGAAATTAGACAATATGGCTCTCCCCATGACATCCAATCCAATTTATAATTTAAAAGGGAGGTACTTTACCCTGGAGTCATCCTGAATCTATGAGGGCTAGAAAGAAAAAAAAAACTCCATAGTAATAGCAGAAGCACCCTGACTGCTTACCCTACATTCAGCAGCGGCGAATGAAATTAAAATGCTGAAAAAGACAAGTGCTGGTTTGGTAGATAACGTTCGACATTGATTGTTTCCGAGTCATCAGGGACTTGTCAACTATATCACAAGTAATGGGAAATAACCATCCGCCCTAAATGAATGAGGGTAGCATACGTCCTCATGCCTCCGGCATACCCAAGCACCAGACGCTTGTTATAGAATCCACCCTCTGCAAAATTGCCACCATTTTAATTTATTTAATACATGAGTTTCATAATTTGAGTTGAATTACTGAAATAAATTAACTTTTCCACGACATTCTAATTTATTGAGATGCACCTGTAAATATTAAATTATAATATTTAACCATACATATTTTCCCTCAAAAGCTCAAATGTTTGGGGTAAGATTTGTTTTAAAAGGATGCATTAAATTGATTAAACATGACAGTGAAGACATTTATAATGTTACATAAGATAACTATTTCAAATAAATGCCATTCAGACTTCTGAAAACGTATTACACTTCTCACAAAATTTGAAAACAGCACAACCGTTTTTATCCATAAGAAATGTTTCTTGAGCAGAGAATCAGCATATTAGAATGATTTCTGAAGGATCATGTGACACTAAAGACTGGATTAATAACTGCTGAAAATTCAGCTTTGGCATCAAAGGAATAAATTACATTTTAAATATATTCAAATACAAAACAATTATTTTAAATTGTGATAATATTGACCAATATTACTGCTTTTACTGTATTTTTGATCAACTAAAAGCAGCCTTGTTGAGCATAAGAAATTAAAAAAAAAAAATTTGAACTGTAGTGTATATTTAAAATTAAAACCAAAACCTTCTCCATAATACCCACCAGAAGCTTCCATAAAAGTTCTGTGAAGCTTAAATGTTATGAGAGGCTCCTTGAGCTTCCTCAGGAAGTCTTTGAGGAGTCCACAGACAGCATGAACCTCTTCTACTTTGTGGAGCATCAGCGGGCCTTTCCCGGACACATATTTCTCCCTCAGTTCCTTTACCAGCCGCTCTCCTCCAGGCACTCTGTAAATACCCTTCTACACACCCCAGTCAGCCATAAAACAAATGAGACACAGAGAAATTTCATATATCAACTGTATACGCTGTAAGTAGATGTTGTAATGTACTGCAATATGATAGAAAAGATTTGTTTCTTAAATCCAAATTAAGCTTAATTATACAGTGTTTCAAGCAGTGTAATTATACTTTCAGCTTGAGAAACTATCCCTGTGTTGGTGTATTATTGAGTAAAAACACCTCTTCAAGTCCTCTTCTCTCAATCTCATGAACACACTGAACAATCAGAGAGGGAATCCTTGGACGTGTGGAGGGGGCAAAGCTCTCTAAAGTCTCCTATAAGAGGGAAACAAACAGAACTTTTGAACATGGCATCTCTACATAAGGATGTGTATGTGCACTGTGCATTATGAAGGGTGAATACCTCATTGGGCTGGGCTGAGCCATGAGCATTAGGACTGCATCTCTCCACACATAGTTGTTTACACTCAGGATGGCTCACCACTCGACAGTCTCTGCATTTTATGGCCAACTTCCCAAAGCGAATCCTCTTCCCACATGGCACGCATGTCTCTGGACGAATTACCTAGAAAACATAAACCGCTGACCCAGCAGTCATACAGACCAGTCTACACCTAGTATTTATTATTATTTTTTTTTTTAAAGTTAAGATTTGATTTTTAATAAACATTTTTATTTTACATGTTTTTTCCCTCTGATTCGCACAATGAAATATGCTGCACAAACTGTTAAAGGGATAGTTCACCCAAAACTGAAAATTCTGTCATTAATTACTCGCCCTCATTTCGCTTCAAACCCACAAGACCTTTGTTCATCTTCAGATCACAAATCAAGATATTTTTGATTAAATCCAAGAGCTTTCTGACCCTGCATAGACAGCAAAGTAACTAACATGTTCAAGGCCCAGAAAGGTAGTAAGGACATTATTAAAATAGTCCATGTGACATCAGCGGTTCAACCGTAATTTTATGAAGCTACGAGAAAACTTTGTGCGCAAAGAAAACATAAGTAAGACTTTATTCAACAATTCTTCTCTTCAGTGTCAGTTTCTGCCATGACACAAGCGCTCGACACGTGTCTTACGGGTTTGGAACAATATGAGGATGAGTAATTAATGACAATTTTAATTTTTGGGTGAACCATCCCTTTAAGGTCAGACACCTTGTTAAAAATTTAAACTTTGACCACTTATTAACAATTGTAAACCAGAAACAGCATATTTGGCAGACTTTCCTTATATTGCACTTTATAACTTCATTTTTCCACTTTATTATATACAGAAATAACAGCATGGTGCACACTGAATAGGCTGAGGAGGTTCTGAAACTGTTATGTATTATACATTTACATGTTATGTTAACGTCATGTTAAATAATGTATAATATAACATGTTAAACAATATATAATATAATATAATATATGAATCTTTATATTACATTGATCCTTTTCACAGACTGAAAGTTTTACTATATATTTTTCAATGTTTTCATATTTTATTTTATATACACTTATAACTTTATACTTTGTGTTATATCACCTTGATGTAAAATGACAAAAAACTGGTTATGGCTGCCGCATGAGTGTTTCTAATAAATAAT